CTAGTCAAAATAACTGTACTGCAACATTCCTTCGTTAAAGTAGATTTTACATACATTATACCTGTAATTAATATATTTATTCATGGAGATACACTTATACAAGTCATACAGACAAACTTGTACTTTGTTATATTGATTATATGATTTCTTAATGGGATATTAACAATTATATTTTAACTGACAATGCGCACAATTTTTTTATTACATAAAAATGAAGAAAACGAACAGTTAAAAACAAACGTTAGATGTGTTATAAGCCCATAATTTTGGGCGGATCTAAATCTTGCACACATACCACATACAAACACATACGAAAGAAAGAGTTACATTTCTTAAGTAAGGAAATTGATACGATATTTTGCAAATAAAATATTTAAAAAAGAAACACAACATAAATATAATAATATTAGCTTTATATTGTGATATAATTATTATGGTGCGCAAATATACTTCAATTTAGTGTATCATAAATCAAACTATAAAATATTGGTTTAGATCATAGTTTACTGTTCCTGCATCTACTACAGTTGTATATTTATTGTACATACAATATTTTAAAGTTAAGATTATAATTATATACATATTATATAAATATATATATATATGTATATGTAATGCAAAATATATATATGTATATATATATGTATATATATGTCATTAATAAAAATGACTGATCACCGTAACACCTTAGCTCCTTTTGTACAGGAAACTCTTATTGCAAATAAAGAAATAATTTGTTTGTTTCAATACAAGCCTTGTTTCTTGTGTACGTGTAAAACATTTGACTTCAGGAAAACAAGTATAGCTCCACTTGAAGTATAAGCTTATCATATCATGAAACATGAAATTAACGTTAAATTCGTACAATTTTTGCATTTTTTATACTAATAGTAATTTAGATATTTAGTTTGTAAAGTCTTTGGGCAAATGTATTGAAAAAACGAAAACTAGAATGTGTTGAAATGTATGACTGCTTCAATATGGCATATCAAGATAAACGAAACGCGCTTCAGTTGAATATAAAAGGTAATAGCAATTCAATGCGCTCTTAGTAAATAATCATGTAACATTTAAATTCCATGCATCCCTTTAGTAAACAGTGAAAACTTGTTACCGTATCCACAGAAGTATGCAGGCTCGTTACGGTATAGTTTGTTAAATTAAATATCTAACGCGCGATTATGGGAGATCACGTTTTCATTCACCTTAAATAATTTTAGTGTACCAGCTGATCCATCGTGGCCGAAAATACCGCAACGTAAATTAGTTGATGATATCAGCGATACTATTGAACCTCCATGTATAATCACTTTATCTGGATCATCTAGAAGGAGTGGTACTGCGGTCCAGACACCGCTGAATCAGTAAGCATTGAATTTGTATCCCCTAAAAATTTATAGATACTCAAATATATTCTAATGATAATATAAATTTATATGTTTAAAATTTTAGATCTCCTAAATCTGCAGAAACTAAGGGTAGCACATATTCCTGTTTTAATCATCAAAGTACACACACATTAAAAAGACTACCTGGTTACGTCGATCCTCGATTTAAGAAGTATCTTATTTCTCCTATACTTATGTAAAAACATGATTAATTTAAAGAATTATTAATATCTTCTTTAATCAGAGTTACTAATGTTAAAAGAAGTCAAGATCTGACAGGGGAGAAGAGAAATCAAGGCGATGCTTTTAATTCTGTAGAGCTTTCGCACAATAAAGAAGCTAAGGAAGTAATGCTACAGAAGGACATAAATAGGTATATATACACAGAGTGTCTGCTAATTGGTGTTACAACCAGAATCACTCTTGATTGAAAATAACATATTGTATCATCACATGTGATCATATTTACAGTATTTACAATTAATACTTCTATACAGACATCAAATAAAAGTACCAGATAAAAAACAGTGTCATGATGCAAGAAAAATAAATGAACCGAATGTAAAAGTGGTAAGCAAAATATTATTAAAAGAGAATGGCTATGAATATTGACAATTCCACTGACTGACACGATGCTTATCGTTTTCATTCCTATAAGGAGCCGTCGTCAGCTCGACCTAAGAAACCTGATGACAGTAAAAGTGTTCATATCAACGAGGAATCAGTTTTAAAGGAAAGAAATTGTGCATGTGGCACAGAATCAAAAAATACAAGCCATATCTCAGAAAAAATTGATAAAAATGAAATGACAGGAAAGGATAAATGTATGAAAAGTAAAAACTGCAGTAAACATCAGTCAAAGACATCAATGAATGATGCAAATACACAAGTGGATGTAACTTCTTTGCCAGTCCAAGTATATATCATCTTGTTGATATAAGAAAATTTATACTGAAAGTATAAAGCATTAACTGAATAAGTTCCCTTAATATTTTAATGTATTTAGGAAAGTAATGGACAGTTGTTTTTCATGCTAGACAAACAATTACAATCGCATCCTTTAAATACGATTCATCTTGATACAATTACTTTGCCTCAAGAATATTTAAAGCAATGCTATAATGTGCAAGTCCCAATTTTGACCTACCAAAACATACCAATGCCAATACCTGCTGTAGGAACAAATAGCGCAATGCAACAATGCTCAACTAATTCTGAATGCAAAAATCAAATTGAAATTCCATCTTTGTTAAACCAAGAAGAACAGAAGGTGCATGTTTCTGATAAAAAATCATTAACACAAGTTAATCAAACAGTACTGGAACAAACTCAAAATACAAATGAACTCCATGGCAATGGTAATAATTACTTTCAAAATTGTACTTCTAAAACTTTTAATTGTTTTCAATATTATTTCGTTTTAGATGCTGAGAATAATGTTATTGAGACGAAATCTGTTTGCAATAGTAAAACAAAGGGTGCATTGACTACACAAGATACTGTACCCTGTGAAAATAAAGAGAACCTTACAAAACCAGATTCAGAAATATTTAAAAAATTAGAAAGTGCAAAAATACATCGAAAAGTACATGAATCTAGTGATTCTGAATATTATATTCCAAGCATTGCTAAAAAAATTTTACCCACTAGCAGTGTACAAAATACAAATATTAAAAGAATCATATGCAACACAAGTGGAGGGGAGACAACAGATTCTGAGTTTGTTCCACCTAAAAACATTCAGAAAAAAGAATTTACTGATGTTAATATGCTCGCATCAAAACGTCATAAAATTAGTGCATACAACTATGAACAACCAGTTCAATCAATACTCCAATCGAGTAAACTTATTTCTGCTGAAGATAAATCATATCAGGAACATAAGAAAGTTATGTACCAAACGAAAACAAGAAATAAATCAGAACAAAATTTATTTTGTTCAAAAAATGAGTGTATGAAGAAACTTTATAGGAATTCTGAGCCTCATATTACATTTAAACAAAAAAAGGCATCTGGGAAATTTTCTAGGAAAGCAAGATCCTATTTCCAAAAAAATTCTCACTGTGCATTTGTGGATTCTGATTACACTTCAACGGGGCCTAAATATCAATCTAATAAGCAAAGATATAGTCAAACAAATATTCAAAAATTTAGTAATCATAGAACGAAAAAAATTGGTTATCATTCTAATGCCAAACTGCCCGTTCAAGAAAACCGTACAAACGGACAAAAAGAAAATAATTTAAATTCTATTGATCAGAATGACCAAAAATCAGAGGCATGCCCGCAAAGTATTAAGTGCAAGTGTGATATTTCCCCAAGATCAAATTCAAATGATATGACTGAAAGTCCAAACCGGATTCCTCCTAAAACTCAGGAATTATTAAATAAAAGCTATTGGGAATATTACAATAAATTAAAGCATAAAATAAAAGATACTGGCAATATAGAGCAACAATACCTGTATCAACTAACAGTGGATAGCCCAGGGATTAGAAAAGAAAAACCAGATGAAATGCATGGTAAGGAGTTCCAAAACCAGTTGAACTTGAATCCTGAATTCCAAACGTTGCAGCAATGCTCTGCTTTATCTAGTATGATCAATAAAGCACTGTAAGTTCCTGTAAAACCATATTGTACAGAAAAATTAGGTTTCTTCGCAGAGATGCTATATAGAATATTATTTTATGATTCTCAGAGATACAAAACATCAATCAAATTGCATGCAAATTACGGAATCATCTACAAACCGTTTAATTGATGAACAAAATGCTAGTAAAAGTAATAATGTTATTCCAAACTGGACTAATAGTAGTGAACCTCTGCTTCATGAAATGAAACATAAAACAGGCAATGAAAATGATAAACAATACTTGGAACTTAAATCTATCAGTAAGTGTCCAATTTCTATTGTCTAATTTATATGTTCCAATTAATAATTGATTTACATCATTTCTAGTCTTTTTTGGTGGTATGATGTATATCTTAGTAATATTTTTACCAATGTTATACGATTATTTCAATCATGAGGTGTACGATGATTATGAAAACATGAGCTACTTAGAATGTATAATGGATTATGTTTTATCATCATTCAAAGAAGCATTTGGTGGTATTTTCAATAGTGTAAAACAAATTCTTTTCTATCCAGTAAGAACACAAACAAAATTATGATAAAACGCACGTTTCGAGGGAATCACATTAATCAAACTAAATAATTTTATATGATTTTTAGCCTGCATGTAAGAAATGCAATAATATTGCATAAATTAACGATGATCACCGTGCCATATACAAGCTTAAAAATATTATATTACGGTTTGTTCTTTCTCTATTTCTTGATACTTGCTTTTTGTAGAAGACAAATATTTTTATAATTGCATCTGCACATGTATACTTACATTTTTATACGTGTTTACAATTAAAATTTTCTTTAAACATCATTTATTTTTAACAATTACTGAGCTATGTAATATTATAATGCCATATAATATTCATTTCATCGTTCTTCCGAAATAAAACGTTCATTTTCAAATTAAGTATCGGTTATGCTCTGAAAACTTCGCGCAGGAAACGAATGGCGGTAATGTTTGAATTCATAATCGAGTAGCTACGAAAGGAGCTATTAATTTTCACAAGTTCTCTAACTATTTCAAATTCCTTAGAGCAACGAAATATACTATTTCATTTGAAGTCCATATTTTACTGAATTTCCATTTTAAAATAATACATTTGACATCGCGGCATTCTCATTTACATTAAATTTCTTCAGTTCCAAATTAAATTAACGGAAAAATAATTCGGTATCCCGAAGAACTTGCGAGAATCAACAGCTTACCGATGGCCATCTGGCGATACACAATTGTATCACAGACGATAACAGCGTCATCGGTATACGAAAAGTAGAAACACAATTTACCCGCATACTACAAAGGAACTGTACGCACGTTGAGTTCGGTCATTTCGCCTGGTGATCCCGAGCGAGTACCTGCGGGGAAGCCCCTGTTCGAATATCGGTGCCAGAAGACAGTGTGCGACCACTACTCGTATTCTAATCGGATTATTAATTACCATTCATTT